TTTTCCAAATCATTCTCTTGGCCTGTCATTTGTAGTTCCACATTCTGTACTTTCTCTATCTCATCAGATAAAATTTGTACCACATCTGTCGTTCCTTCATTAACATCTTTTAGACGTAGTCTATCCATAGAAGCAGACATCATTACTGACGGTGTTGATATTGTAGTTATAACTTCTGGCTCCATTCTTCAAAGATCTCCTTTAATATTTCTGATGTTATAACATTTTGTGTCACTTTGTAAGTCCCAGAACTGACATCAGGCTTTGTATTTTTTTTTCCTTCTCCTTAAAATCTTTAGTCCCCTCTAGTGTCCAGTTTCTAGAATCATTACTTATCTTTTGTTGTGACTTGCAATTTCCAGGATAACCAAAATAAGTCTATTTCCCATAAGAAGTTGTTTATTTTTATAGTTAATTCTAAAATCTTATAGTAAAACTCAATATTCCAAATTTATCTGGCCCCTTAATCTATTTATTACTTTCTTAGATCAAAATCTTAGTTAGCTTTTTGCTGTTTATTTCAAATTCTTTAAATACTTAAGCTTGTAATTAATTTTTCTTTTGTTCAGAGTTGAAGATAAAATCACCTGATGACGACTTTTCAAACCTGTCATTCCGAAGGTCTCTAATAGCTTTAGAATAGTTAATAGGCAATTTCTGAAAGTGTTTAGAAAATGAGGTTTGCGAACGTAGTATCTTTTAATTGTCTCCACTGCGGTTATGAGCAAGATGACTGATCCTGTCGTCTCCCAGCACTCAAACCCATGAAAAACCACTGTCCTGCAGTCTCCTCATAAGGAGCGGCCATCCAGAATACATGTGGGTGTTCCCCCATCCTCTTCTTATCCAGAGAGGTTCCAAGGAACCAGCCTACTCACTGGTTCGTTGGTCTTTGCCACGGTCGTCGGCTCTGCTTTTGCAGAGCTGTCCTCAGTTTGCCATACCTCCACCGTAAATCCCACTGAATCTTAAATACTTTTCTCAGAAGCTGCTCTGGAATACACATCTACAATGCACACACACTGTACAGATAGGGAAAAAAATCAGATTCAGGGTAGAAAGGCATAGCTCAGATAAATCCATAAAATAACCCAAGAAAAGGATCCTAATCCACATCTAGCTGCACTATTCCCTACAATTTACTTCTGATTTTCCAACCATTCTCTAGGTTGGGCAGGTTTCTTATGTGGCTGAAAGATATAGGTAAGGAGGTGCTATTTCCACTTGGGATTGAAATGGCAGAACAATGACACAGTGAAGTTTCCCTCATCCCCTTTTCAAAACCCACCTGAGACAATAATTTTCCTGTTCCTTACTAGTTTTTTTAAAAGATTTATTTTCCTGAGATCTGATAGTCTCCAAGTTGGCAGGTCCAGGTTGAATTTCCTTTAACTTTTGTTTTGTCTGAATTTTTTAGGATTGGATTTGTCCCATCTACTACACAGGTAAATAAGTCACATGGGCAAACAGATGAGGAAATAATCTGACTTGACATAAGGCAGTTTTCTATCATGGTGTTCCTTCTTTTTTTCCCCCATCTCTCCCAGCCCTCCCTTCCTCCCTTCCTCCTTTCTGGCTGGGTAGAATGAGTTTCTACCTAGACAGAAGGAGCATTAGGTCTGAACATAAGTCAAAGACTATGGCTAGCAGTGGTTTGACAAGTTGTCCTCAGTGAAGAAGTTGCATCTGCATTCTTTTTGCAGGTTCTTTATTCAAACAACATGATT